ACTTAGAGTCCTCCAGAAGCTTTTCAATTCTGTCATCTCAAAGGTCAAACACCGAAGGCATGGGGCAGAAGCGAGGTCGTCCGGTTCTTCAAAAAGGGTGACAAACACTCTTGAAGAACTATCGGCCAATCTCGCTTCTGAGCTGTACCTATAAGTTGTTTTCCAGAGTTATCACGAATCGTCTCACTCGCAGGTTTGAATTCGAACTCCAACCTCCCGAACAAGCCGGTTTCCGAACGGGTTTTAGTACTGTAGTACAGGCACCTTTGGTTTTGTATTTAGAATTGCAAGAATAATAGAGTGTTGATGTCAAACAGACATCTAACAGTTCTGGACAAAGCTTTGAAATTAAATATACGTATACATTGACTTACAATGTATAAAATTATAATTATGATATGTCGTCGTTTATATTTATAAAGTACCTCTCGCTACGCTACCCAAGCCACGTTCCCATGCTATAAGTGGTGGAGATCGCCTTACAAGTGGTGCATGATCGCCTTACGTGGAAATTGCAATGTGGAAAAAATTTATATGATTTTACGAAAAGTCTCCAAAGAGAGGAAAACATATATAGGGTCGTAATTTTGATTTATATTAGTTATTTTATTGTTTTATTTCTTGTGCAAGTAAAAAGAGCAAGAAAGAATATGCATTGTATTGCGGTGCAAAAGTTTACGGGGTTGAAGGACGTTGACGAATTTATAAATCAGTTTGAGGCGATCAACGTGTCGAATAATTGGTCAGAAGTGCAAGAGATACATGTTAGCATTGTATTTGGAGGGGCCACCTCTCGTACAAAACGTATTTTTCTTCATACGCGACGTATGGTATAATTGCGCAAAGGCTTAAGGAGGAATTTCCCTCCCAGACCTTGGGAGACCTAAACACAGTGCTCGAAGATCTCGGTAATGTTTCCCAAAGAGTGGGTATTAAAATGAACATGGACAAGACGAAGATCATGTGCAATGCCCATGTTGTACATTAAAATTGGGAGCACTACACTCGAAGTTGTTGACCATTACGTATACCTGAGACAGACAGTCCAGTTAGGTAAGTCCAACTTTGAGAAAGAGATTTCTCGTCGAATCCAGCTCGGATGGACAGCGTTCGGGAAAGTACAAAAAATCTTCGCGTCCAAATTACCTCAATGCCTCAAGACGAAAGTCTTTGACCAGTGTGTGTTGCCAGTGATCACATATGGATCAGAAACGTGGTCCCTCACTATGGACCTCATAGGAATCCTCTCCTCATGAGAGACCGATGCTCGGTATTTCCCTACGTGATAGAATCAGAAAAGAGGAAATTCGTAGGAGAACTAAGGTAACCGACATAGCTCGAAGAACTGCTCAGCTGAAGTGGCAGTGGGCGGAGCACATAGCTAGGCGAACCGATGGTCGTTGGGGCGGAAAGGTTTTCGAATGTCGACCGCGCACCGGACGACGCTCTGTGGTTAGGCCCCCCATCAGGTGGACCGACGATCTGGTAAAGGCCGCGGGAAGCCGATGGGTGCGGGCAGCACAGGACCGATCGTCGTGAAGATCGTTGGGGGAGGTCTATGCCCAGCAGTGGGCGTCGTATGGCTGAATGATGATGATGATGATGAGGTAATACGCGATCTACATATCTTATAATGTTGAAATAGAATATACACGTCACGTTCGACAAGCTCTTAGCCCGATTTTATCTTGAAAAAGTTGATGCCGAGCTATCCAATTCACCACTTAGAGCAAAAACTTGTTTACTTCAATTACGTGTGTTGTTTAGAATAACGTACACGCTCAACATAGCCTCGCACTAGGGAAACCCTGTGTCGCGGGTGCCATGGACACACACATAGACAACCACAAAGTACACCCAAAGTCACGAGAGAAATAAATGTAAGTCATACAAATATATCTCCCGGCCCGGGAATCGAACCTGGGGCCTCTGCGTGACAGTCCGGCATGGTGACCGTTCGGCCACGTATGCAGTTGTTATGTCAATATCGAAACATTTGCGGCGAGGTGAGCCGCACATAAATGTATCCAAACTTTGTTCAAAAGTGTAACTTTGATATTTAAAATGTGACATAGCTTCATCTCGTACTGAATGTACATTACCTACATGTATATTAAAAATAGATTGCGACGGAAGCTTCTCTGGAGATTTGTTTACTGTCGCTTTGGAATGAGAGCATGTAAAGTGAGACTGATTACATTAAAGCGAGTACACATTTTGTGTTTTTTGTGCAAACGAGGCACGAATAACTGGCGCCGACAACGGGGCTACGTGGGGGGTGTGGGGAAAGTGGCGAGCGCTTTTTATGAATGAAGCATGTCCGCGACTCGCGTCTCCGCCCACGCGATCAAGAAAGTACCAACAAAGGAACCAGCACATGACATCAACGCAAAAGCTGATGTATAAGTATACCTATATAAAAATGGTTTGATTGACCCCTGACCTTTTTTTTCACGCACACACTCAACATAGCCCCGTACTAGGGAAACCCTGTGTCGCGGGTGCCAAAGACAACCACAAATCACACCCAAACTCACGAGAGAAATAAATGTAGGCCTTACAAATATTTCTAATTCGATTCCCGGCTCGGGAATCGAACTTGGGACCTCTGCGTGGCAGTCCGGCATGGTGATCGTTCGGCCACGGAGGCAGTTAACCTACTTAACCTACATTACCTACCTACAATTTCAATCTCTGTTTATTATTGAAAACAGCCCTTATAAAACCTATTCACAAAAGCAGCGTTAAGAGCAATATTAACAATTATCGTCTAATGGCTATATTGCTATCTCAGTCTAAGCTACCTACTTGAAAGAATAATTTTTAAAAGGTTTGTTAATTATTTAGAAACTAAGAAACTCCTATCGACGTATCAATTTGGGTTCTGAAAAGGGCTACCGACGAAAGACTCAGTTGATGAACAGACTGATTACATTGAAAGAAATTTGAACTCGAAGAATAATTGTTTGGCTATCTTCCTTGACCTCGCAAAAGCCTTTGACACTGGAAACATACCAATACTTTTAAATAAGTTAGAAGTACTTGGATTTAGAGGAATGTAGCTCAAACTTTCTGACAGAAAACAGCGCGTGACGATTGACAAAATAACGTGAGACGAATTACGGGTTGAATATGTTGTTCCCCAAGGAAGCATAATAGGATCAATCCTATTCCTTGTCTATATTACCCAACTATGCGCTCTCCCCCTCTCTGGTGGAAAGATCATATTTTACGCCGTTGATACAGTTTTATTATTTAGCGCCTCAAAATCGAATGAAATATTTTCACAAGCTCAACTCCCAACCCCCGGAGAATGCTTTCTCAATACTAGTTCACCATTGTATAAGCCCTCGAATGTAAGCCGCTGTGCATGTCCAACACTGAACATCAGAAGCAATATTACATAATTAGGTGTCACAATCGATCACCACCTTAATTTCAAACACCATATTGTAGCGCTTACTTCTAGAGTTCAAAAGTTGATATAAGTATTTAAAAATTTAAGATATGCAGCTAGCAGTGCCCCTCTCAAATAAGCGTATTTCGCCCTCTGTCAATCATTGCTACTTTACTGCATAACATCCTGCGGTGGTGCACATAAGACCACCCTGATAAATCTGGAAAGAGCGCAGAGAGTGTTCTTAAAGTCAACAACTTCCTTATTTTCGATTACTCAAGCCGCAAACTCCTAAACGAGTGCGATGTTCTCTAGGTTCGGCAACTATTTATCCAACAAATAATTATGAAAAATCACTGAATTCCTCCGTTTGATTCCGTTATTTTAACCAACCACCGACGACTCGACACCTTTTCGCACAAATCTACACCACTCGCTCAGATTCTTCTGCTTCCTTGGTACTTTCCTTTACTTTAAATTTAATTCGCAATGAATAAAATGGAATGTAAAAAGACCGTCAAATTCTGGTTTAAGAGCAAAACTTACAATGAAACAGAGGGCTTGCTGGTAGTTGTTTCGTTATTATTTTTATATAACTACTTTTTTTAATGTTAAATATAGAAAGTCTGTTTTTATGAATATAAAGAAATTTGTCCAAAAATATGCCTAAAATGCAGGTACACATTAACTTAGTTTAGGCATCCCCATTGCACATTAGGTTCTAATAATTAATTGTATCGCTTTTGTGGCGTTTGTACAGGGTTAGCTTAATAAAATAACGTTTGTTGCTTCTCTTCTTCTTCTTTTAAATGTTATGGCTTCATCGAAATAATAAATGATTTTGCCAATGTCAAGTAAAAATAACTCTGTACGGTAGTTTAATATTATTATAAAAATTATACAAAAAAATGGCGATTGCGCCAATGTCCAGTACACGTGCGATACACGCCCTCTCAGGCCACTGTCTCCTGTCGTCATGACGGGAACAGCGGGCCGCAGTGTGACTTGTCTATTGTGTATGGTACATTATGCCAATACACTACAGCTTTACCATGAAGATTGTATGATTTAGGTGTTTATTTTAATACTATAATAGCTTTATTTACATTTGTTTTTCTTGTATTGTATTAGGTTAAGTTATGTTGAAATAAAATGAAACTTTATCTTTATACCTGGACTGATCTAGGTCGAATCGAAATATTTACGATACAGTATATTATGTATTTGGGATAAAAATAAAAAACTGCAAAAAATGTTGAATAATTATAAAGTTTAAAACAAGAACGTACAATTTTCCTTTTGTGTAACATAATGTAAAATGTTTCTGACAACTCCAAAATTATTTATGAATTAATTAGTTTATATATTATTTGAAATACCTATCTACTACGTACATCTTTTTTACAAATTTCGACAAAACGTCACGATCTCTGCTTTATAGGATATTTTGCCATATTAATGTAGAGTTACAGGATTACTAATATTTTTTTTGCAATTTCCAACGGGCATTTGGGCGATTCTTATGACGACAGACCATTGGAAAATAAGAGACGCCATTGTATTGGATGAACGGAGCTTACTCCGCTTACTCGACCCATAGCCCGAGAAGTTTTGCAATTTGCAACGAAACTAGAATGGCTGATGCCCGTGGCGCGGCGCACTGAAAAATGGGAGGCGGTTGATGGCACTGGGTAAGCGGTGCGAACCCGAATATTTTCACGAAATCTGGAATGGTCCCTGACTACAATAGATCGAAAAGACAGCGATATAGGCGAGCGAAATAGAAACTATAGGTAAATTTTATTAGTTGTCTATCTAACTCAGGTGACTCTCCCTGGGACTGACTGCAAAATAATGTATCGCCTTTTTTTTCAGGATGAGCCGTAAGTTCCCAGGTTCTTTCTTAGATTTTTAACATTACGTGATCGCAAATGCCCAGGATATCCCTGTAAGCTGTAGTAGGCACAAAGTACACCCGACAGAGGATTACATCTGGGGCTGTTTAAATTTACATACGAATAGGTAAGATTGACAACTTAGAAATTCCCGATGAATTCCCTGGTCGTTCGTGGTTAGTGGCAAATCGCCCGTGTCGCTCAGGCTTTGCTCCGATTCTGCGCTGATTGACTCCTTATCTCAAAATTTGTTAACAAAATTGCGCTGAGAGACAGAATTCACATTTTTGGCAGACAACGGTGTCTCTAGCCCATTTTTAAATCAAGGTCATCCGCTGAGCCTCTGCCGCGTCCTCAGGATGCGAAAAGTCGTGACTCGATTTTATTTGACCCAGGGTTTATTATCGAGTGGTACTATTGTTGTTGATGGCGCAGTAGGTGGTTAAGTTTTATTGAAATTCAGGATGTTTGACCACCATGATATTCAATTACTTTTTGTGAAATTACTCCACTACTTAGTTTGTTATAATTATTAAACAAAGATCGAAAACTTAGAAAAAAAAATGCACTTCGATCCGGCTGGATTCAAACCAACGTCTCCCAGCAAAACTATGCCAACTAAGCAACGGAACGAATCAACGGACCTTACGAATACTTTCATGCGTTTGTTGCAGCTCTTAGTCTCGGTTTTTAACGACTTTTTGCCGTAGCGCCATCTATGAAACATAATATATGAAACTTCTTCTTCACTCTGGGAGGTAGGTACCTTTACAGCTACTAGCCGATGACTAGAGACGTCACATTAATAATTGTTATTGAGTTTTATTGAATGTCAGGATATTCAATTATTTTTTTATGAAATTACTCCACTGTTTGTTACCACAAAAATTCTCGTAGTAGTAGGTGGGTGACCTTTATGGCTCGTAGCCCTAATAAATAAGCAGATTCTGGCGCTGGTTTGCTAATAAGGAGCAATAACGACGAAAACGAAACGACTATAGTTATTTGTTATGCAAGGTTGCAAAGTTGCTGATGACGCAAGTGCTTGTACTGTAACCTGAGCAAGCGAAGGAAGCAAAAAGATTCCTGAGGGTAGCGAAGGTTTCAAGCCACGAGACGCTGCCGAGCGAAACACACAACTTTTCACCTCACTATAGCGAGGAAAATGGTAGGTGAAACAAAAATAGTTGAACTGAAACATCACGGAGAGTGTTTTTTTTTTTTTTTAATAATAACGCACGCACACACTCAACATAGCCCCGCACTAGGGAAACCCTGTGTCGCGGGTACCATGGACACACATACATAGACAACCACAAATTACACCCAAACTCACGAGAGAAATAAATGTAGGCCATACAAATATTTCTCCCGGCCCGGGAATCGAACCCGGGGACCTCTGCGTGGCAGTCCGGTATGGTAACCATTCGGCCACGGAGGTAGTTGTGTGCGATGGAATTACACGATCTAATTTCGCGTTCCCCTTTCCATCATCGGGGGACTAGACGTAGGCTTAGGTACCACCCCTATGTTGTGGATATTCCAAAGATTCGCACGAAGCGTTACGCTTCCACTTTTATATGGCGAACCGCTACGGAGTGAAATTCCCTGCCTGCAGACTTCTTCCCTGAACGTTATAACTTGGACCTTTTCAAGGCGAGAAAGAATATGCATTATTTAGGTGTGCATGCTCGATCGTCGATCTCATCGTCACTTTCCATCAGGTGAGATGGAGGTCAAATGCGCACTTACATTTCGTTTACAAAAAAAAACTAAAACATCAGTTTTTACCTTTTTTTACCTTCGGAAGCATTCTGAATTTACGCCTCATCAATTTTCATTCTTGCTTGTGCTTTTACATATATTTTGTGTGATTAAGTGATTATTGAAATTATTTTAGTTCTTCGACCCATTAAAATAATTTAATAAACACAATTAGTTATCCTTGTCAATTTAATGTCAATAATAACAAAAATAAAATATACCTACCAACGGATTTATATTACATTAAATAAGTAATGTGGGTAATATGTCTTTTTTTAACCGACTTCAAAAAAGGAGGAGGTTCTCAATTCGACAGTATGTTTTTTTGTATGTATGTTACGCGATAACTCCGGTATTCGTGAACCGACCTTCCATAGTGGTCGCATTTCATTTTGAAGAAAATCATCCAGCTCTAAGGGTGGCTGTTCACGCATGTTGATTCATTTTTATAAATAGCACTTAAATTTTATTTAAGGAGCAATTTATTTTAATGGTTGATTTTGCTATTTCTCCAATTCAAGGCGTTTTTCTCTCAATATACTTTGAGTAGTGAGAACCGATTTTTATTATCTCCTGTGTCAAGTCATGTATAGTGGCGAACTAGGGGATATTTCTTACTTGCGCAAGTACTTTTTATTTATTTATTTTATTTATTAGGTTCACCAACGTTGTGTACAATATTACTTATATTCGATATACATATATTATTTTATAATCTAATTGCCACAAACACTTAAAGGTAAACACAACATGCACTGACTAAAAGCTAACAGTATCTAATAAAAACTAAAAACTAACAGTGTCTAAATAAAGTAAACAATAAAGATCACAATATGGAGCACAATATACTGAAGGTCACTTATTTGGTACAGTCGAGTAAGTGAGAAATTTTCTTCCGAATCTTGAGAGGTGAATCGTGGTGAATGTCAATGCTATCACTGAAACCATTCACCGTTCTACTCAACCTTGCGACGGGTGAGTTTGAGCCAAATACAGTTTTACGTAAATACTTTTGAGGTCGGTTTTTTTAGTACTCTTTACTGAGATTATTTTTCATCCAAAGAAAAAGTTAGGTGCACCGCAGTCTATCGTCAAGCTCGAATTTCAAAAACCTTTTGCTTTTGCGCGCAGATTTCTAATGAGAAAGTAAGCTTTTCCGAGCTTGTGAGGTGAAAATTATATTGTGTAATGTGTATTGCGTACCTACTTTGTTGCCGCACAACACATCTTATGGGATGGTCTTTAAAACTTTTTACTTTTATAACACCTTGATTTTCCTATTACGATAGAATTTGTAATTTCTATTATTAACCCGTAACTTTATGAAGCGAATGATGCCTCAAATAAGTTGATATCGGCTGTACGGGTCTATTCTCCTTCACCATTAATCCTTCGTGCCTCCCACTGCCGGGGCCTGTGGGTCTTCTCTAAGGCGAGGGTTTCGACGATAGTCCGCCAAGCTGGCTCAATGCGGGTTGTGGACTTCTCTCGTTTTCCGAGAATTGTGAACCTTCTTCGAAGTGTAGGTTTCATCACGATGTTTCCTTCACCGAAAAGCTCATGGTCAATTGACAATTACAATAATTCGATATATACCTCCCACACAAGTGATTGCTTTTTAATTATATCTATTTTTATGTACTTAATAGGTTCCATGTCTGAAAGAAGAAACATAACACTAAGCAATTTTTTTGCTTTTGCATATGGAATCTATAATAAACATAAAAAAAGATTTATTTAAATCAAAAAGCAAAAAATTGTATTTGGCTTACAATAACTTACGTGCGAGGTATCGAATTGTTCTCCTTCTTCATATTGTATTGCCGTCGCGGTGAAAGGATTTGACAATCGCCGTAAGGCGAAGCTCGGGCTCATGTGCCTACAGGGAGCATGGATTGTACGTCGTTGGAATCGTCGTCGGAGTCTCCTTTCGTGAACCTCTATGGTGATGATAGATCTGTGCAAAGCGACAGTACAACACCACGAAAGGAGTGGCACTCAAGGGCGCGATACCTTAAATCAAGGTTTATTTTGTTATGTTTTAGTGGAAGCAATCGATGGCGAAGGAGTGTATTTTTGATGTTGGCGATGGTGTAGTAGACTACATAGAGCGTAAAGGCGGTTGCTCACAGGAAATGTAGCCGCGGCAAGTCGCGAAGCGCGTGCGCCGGCAGTCGCCGCAGCGCGCACGCGTCCAGCCACAGCCGCGCCAGCGCGCCGCCCGTGCCGCCGCCGCTCAGCGCGCCCGCCGACACCGACTCCAGCCGGTTCAACGACAGGTTCCTGTGCACATCCAACACCATAATACTTCATTTGTAGTCAAGTTACTTCGACAACTCAACGCCGTTTAATCAATTAACGAAATATGCGCTTCGCTCGGTCAAAATGAGTGCCACGTCATTATTTTTGTCATTTTCGTGGTCAGTTCAGTGGACTGCGACAGGCTGATAATGATGATTTAGCGTGGTCACATTAAAATAAAGGCGTAGCTTCATGGCCGTAAAACAATAGCCATATTGTAAATACAAATTGTGAGTGAAGCTAGTACGAGTTTTTTATTGAGTAAAGTTATTGGCGAATGTGTAGAGGATGAGGCGGTAAGTGAGTGACGGGTGGCGGCGGCTAACGTCGCGGGTTCGAGGTTGATCCTCGCCGGCGGCGGCGACACTCGTCGCACAGCCTCAGTGCCGTACTTGAATATTCGCCGCTGGCATTACAATTAGCGACATTTGCATCGTACCACCTTCCCCGCCCCGCACCCCCCACACCGCCCGCAATATCGCCGCTCACTTCGCTCGAAACTCAGTTCATTCGCCTTCGCTCGGTATTTAGGTCGGGTCATGATGACATGCTGGTTGTTTATCCGACCACCTCACGTACGTTAACGCACCGTCAACGGCTTTATAGCCATCAGTTACAGTCCCTGTGTGGGGCGGGGGAGGCGGGGGAGGACGGAGCCAGTCGGTTGCTACTCACAGGTCTCTGAGTGCGAAGGCGGGAAGCAGCGCGTCTCGCGGCAGCGTGCTGATGTTGTTGCTCGAAACGTCGCTGAAACAATCACACGTACGTTACACCCTCCGAATTTTCTTTTCAAAACACCATAAAAAATCCAACATGTTTTGGTAAAGTTATTAAGTCCTAGTTTTATACATAAAACTACAAAAATGTGTCTATGTACTTTTATGGAAAACCGTTGAGTTGAAACAATGTGAACCTTTTTAATTTATGGTTTTCCTCGATCAGCCAAAAAAAAGAAAAGGGGTTGATTTCGTACATCGAAGATATTTTGTACAATGTATTTTGGGAGATTATTCCGCGATCCGTAATAGACCGCGTATACCTAGTATACGCGGCGGTTACACAAGTAGGTATATTTCAAAAAGTTGTTCGCTGTTTTTGTATCTGTGTAGGTCGCACCGCTCAAATAGGTACTGGAATTAAGAGCCTTGAACACCGCCGTAAAGTTGCCTGCTTATCGATATTCTACAAGATATATCACGGAGAGTGTGTGAATTCATTCCGCTTTCCCCTTTCTATCATTGGGGGACCAGACGTAAGCCGGGGTTCAACCCCTACGTTGTGGATATTCCATGGATTCGCACGAAGCGCTTCGCTTCCACATTTATATGGCGAACGGCTATGGAGTGGAATTCCCTGCCTTTGAATGATTGATTTGTTTCCTGACCGGTATAACTCGGGCCTTTTCAAGTTTAGGTGTGCATGTTGCATCGTCGACTTCATCGTCACTTTTAGTCAGGTGAGATGGAGGACAAATGCGCACTTGTTTTTTAATAATAAAAAAATACTTCTGAATATGTGAATGAAACTTATGAAATCTCTAAGCAATATCTAAAAGATGCACAGTTCCCGATTGTTAAAATAAGAAAGATGCAACGCCTCTGTTGTTCTTGTTAACTGGTGAAATACTTTTACACACTGTGTGTTCTGCAACGGTTTTATTAACAATGTCACCTAAAAACTTAACACAGAAAAATCTGCATCGTGTCTAGAATGATCAGCTCTAATTATCTACAGTTAGTGGATGAATACACAGTTTTTTGTATAACAAGTACTTACATTTAATTAGTGTGTGAAGTTTGAGTTTAGTTTAAATAAGATATTTTAGTTTTGTTAGGAGTTCCTTCCGAGTCAGGAGTGAGAAATAGTGAAGTGGATTCGGATTTTATACATATTTAGGACATTAAAAAATATGTAAATAACCTAAAAAAATGGTTTTGTTTATTTTTGTTATTTATAAACTGTAATAGCGTCTTGGTTACAATAGCATTTAGAGTTTACTAACACCGTTCTACCGATTTAAGCAGCAGTATTCACCGTCGTAGAGCTTTCGGTTTTACAATTGTGGTATTGACGCGCTATTGTACGTTTTTAGAAGTACAGTTGCTGTAGAATTCTCAAATATAACGGCCTAAGCGTACTGTAGAAACATATTTATCTGCTGTAGATATCTCGTTCCAAAGGCTGTAGTAAAATCTATTTATAATAATAATAATTTATTTATTTGATGTAACATTGACACATATTATTTGTTAGTAAAATCACTTAATGCTATTGTTAGTAAGTACACCATTATACATAATAGACACTGCTGGAAACATGCAATTCACAGCAGTGCCTCACGTATGGACGGTCGAATCTGTCCGCTATCGAGCTCCGGATGTGGTTGGGGCTGGCCCGCACTCGGCGCACCAGAGACGTGCTCCGCTTGCGCATGGTCGCGTAGAAGCAGTCAACTCTTGCTTCTGCGAAGATCCCTGACGCGCTCCAGGAGCACGTTTAACAGCTCCAGCCGTTAGAAACATACTATATACCATCTAAAGCGTTTTGAATGGTATATAGTAGAATTGTTTGAATGGAGGAACTTCTAACTTCAAAAACCCTCCACAAGACCTCAAGATGTTATAAAAGCTTCAGAAATATACGACATACCACCTAAAGCGTTTTGAAGGAAGCTAATAACTCCATTTTTAATCATTAAACTATGTAATCTGTTACTGTCTAGTAGTTACTACTTAAGTATTATTGATATTTGCAAAGGCCGAGAGAACAAGCTGGAAAAGCCAGTAAGAAGCGTAGAAGGTAATGTGCATTGTTTTGTCTGTTGCTTATTGGTTACTTGTAAGTTTTTTGATATACTATATTTTTATAGAGGAATTAATATATGTGTCCCATATTGTTTCTGGGTTTGAATATTTCTAGTTTTTTAAATCGCAGCCAGTTTCTTACTCGTAGCACTCAATTAGAACTTACTTTAAATGTTAGGATAATGTTCACTTTGTATGTCACAATTACTTTTACTTCTTTAGTTTTGTACCAAAAATGTTATTGGCTTGTTTTTTTATGCAGATTCAAAGTTTATTATTCCTAATGAAACTGAGTAAGCCGTTATTATTTAATTGTTACTGCTTAATTTTTGTTGATATTCACAAAGGCACGGGGCAGAAGCTGGATAAGCTAACAATAATCGTAGAAAGTATTGTGCATTGTTTTAATTATTGCTTGTCAGTTGCTTGTAAGTTTTATATATTCTATATTTGTCTGGTGGTACTGATGTCATATGTCCCATTTTGTGTCTGGGTTTGAATATTTCGGGTTATTTAAATCGCAGTCACTTTCTTACTCATAGCACACAGTTATATCGGACTTTATATGTTGGGATAATGTTATCTTTGTACGTCACAGTTACAGATATTTTTTTATAAAAATGTTATTGCTATTGCTTTTCCTTGCAGATTCAAAGTTTATTTTTCTTAATGAAACTATGTAGGTAAGTCACTACTATTTAATTGTTACTGCTTAATTTTTATTGAAATTTGCAAAGGCAGAGACGTAAAGTTGAAAAAGCTATCAATAATCGTCGAAGGTATTGAGCATAATTTTATTTGTTGTTTACTTGAAGTCATTTAATATCTTCTACTTAGCCAGTACAATTAACATGATGTGTCACATTTTATTTCTGGGTTTCAATGTTTCTACTTATTTAAATTGAAGCCCTTTTCTTACTCATAGCATACAGTCACATGTAATCTTATATGCTATTATTACTATTACTTTTCCACCTTAATGGCTAACAATAAAAATATTTTAACTGTGGTCTTTATAAGCAAGGCTCTCTTAGTAAAAATCACAATGAGCTTATTTTTGCAGTGGAATATCACTCACTGGGTATGTTAGCCATTAATGAAACGTGGTTGCGACCAAATGAGGAAGGCAGAGCGCCGGCTCTGCCTGGTTATAGGTTGATTAGCGCACCAAGGCCATTAAACATTCGCAATGGGCGTGGCGGTGGCGTGGCTTTCTTTGTCAAAAGAAAAAGAATTAGAGCTAGGGTTTGGCAGCATCCTGAATGCTCATCAGTTGAACAGGTCTGGTTGAAAGTTAACATTAATGGTTGCAAGATTTTTTTGGGCACAGTTTCTCGACCTTCCTTGTGAAGTGTTGATATTTTCTTGAATGATTTGTCTGATTCTGTTAGTTCTTTGGGACTCTGTGACGGTTTAACATTGCTTGGCGATTTTAATATTGATTTGTTAGTACCAGATAGTATAAATTCCGTAATTTTTTTATTTCATTAGTATTCGTAATTTGAAGCAAGTTGTTGCATCTCCAACTCATTTTACAGACCATAGCGAGACTCTTAGACGTTGTGTGTACAGATGTTCTCCTGAGAAGTGTTAAAATTGACATGGTGGGTAAACTAGCAAACCATGCCCTGATTATCTGCGAATATAGTTTCAAGAAGCCGACGATTCCTTCAAAATTAATTTGTAATAGGCCTTTAAAGGATATTAATCTCAGTCAGTTTAATTTTGACCTTAAACTTTTACCATGGTTTAGAGTATCCGACAGTTACAACGTTGATGAAATAGTATCTTTGTGCAATACACTACTTCTCAATTTGCATGATGTTCATGCTCCAATTAAGTCAATAAGAATTAAAAAACAATCGTATCTCAAGGTCACTAACACCATAAAACTTACGATGAACATGCGAAATGAAGCTCATATGCGTTACATACGGACTAAAAATGAATCCCATACAGAGTATTAAAAGCAATTGAAAAATTTACTTAATTCTTCTTTATTCTAAGAAAAACGTGCTTATTTTAATCATAATGTTAAAGCTTAATGGAAAAACTTAAAATCACATATTTTCCTTCCAAAATCAGATATGGACCCATCTCTCTTCTGCTGAAGATATAAATAAATTTTTCGTAGACCTGCCTGGTTCCAATAAAGTTAATTTGACTGATTTTATTTATTATGAGTCGCGTAGATTTGGTTCTTCTATATTTAATATAAATTGTTTAGGTGATGAATGTATTTTAAAAATAATTGGCTCTTTGAAATCTAATGCTCTGGTTTTGATGGAATTAGTTTAGATATGCTTATGTTAACCTTTCCTAATACTATTACATCTTTGCTGCTATTACATCTAGTGAACAGGTCTATTATCACAAGTACAGTCGCGTGCACTGAAATGTATACGTTCACTTATTTTCGAAAATATGTAAACATCAGATATTTCAAAAATATGTAACCTTGTGCTGGTTTCAAAAATATGTAATCACGACATTATTTCAAAAACTGTATACTTTTATTTCAAAGAAAAGTGAACAAACTACAACCAGTGAAAAGTATACACTTCTGGTGTTAAATATATGTATCCATATCATTTTATCATAAATATGTATCCACTTTTAAAACTATGGAATTTGTTAGGTTTTTAGTAATATTTGCATCGTTCTCAGAAATATGTATACACAATAAACATACGCGCCGGTTGCAAACTTTTTGTGCGTATTTTACTAACTCGGGCGGCAACAACGTCAGTGTTATTCGGTTAAACTACCCTCAATTTTTTTTGTTGACAATCATAAGTGAACGGTATACTATATCCATTTGTCTATGTGGTGCAGCGCAAGTGATACAAGTATTTTCCGAGTTAACGAAATAAATTAGTTGCGGACACGATGAGTAATACTCGTAATAATTATATTGTGCCTTATCGTATAAGTTCACATGAG